AAAAGTTTTAAAAAAAAACCCATTGTGTGCGCCTCCTTCAGTGGACGCCGTCTAGACAATCCACAGCAGAAGCAGCGCGCGGTAAGGCGATTCCCCCGGGGGATGTCTTGTTGTGCGAGGACGGATTTAAAAGATTGGGATCAAATTTGAGCCAGCATAATGGCGGGATTAGCTGCCCGTCTGAATGCACCCTTCCTGTCTTTGCTCCTGCATTTGAAGATATATTGGAAATATATCAGTAGCAAAAACAAAACTGTATACATTCCCATATTCCTATAAGTAGAATTCTAGAAAGATGAGAGATTCTGGCCAAGAGACAGAGTACTGCAACAGAAATTGTGGAGGTGGTAAGTGTTTGCCATCTGGCACAGACCCTTCCTCCACCAGATTCATTAATAACTCTAGTATAGTATTCAGTCAGACTCTGCTGGCTGGAACACATGACTGACATATTTAATTATTCTAAATGAAGAATGAGTGAGCCAGATTTTTCCTTGGATACAGAAATCATGAGCATTGTTTTTTGGAAGATAAAAAAACCACTATCCCTAATAACTAAACTTCATTTCATTATTAAAAGATGACAGAACTTGTGCCAAGACCTTGCCTTGTAGGTGATTCATCAAGCAGGTTGTGGATCAAAGCAACAATTTGATGACATTCTTGCAAACTCGTTAGTCTTTGGACTTTTAGTACATTGCAGTCTGATGCACTGCTAACTTTTTGACAGCTACGTTGAACGCATGTAGCTGCTGTGGCTGGATGCAGAAGTAAGAGGAACATCGAGGCTCTTTCTGTTGTCTGAGGCAGTGGTTCTCAACTGGTGGTACACAAACCACCAGCGAGACACAGAAATACTTCTGGTGGGATGCAGGGTTTTCATAGCAATTACTAAGAATTTTCTGTCCCTCAGTCCCCATGTTCATCTGCAAAGGTGATGTGCTATCCCCTGCAAACCATACCGGCTATGGATTATTCATGCTAGTAGTAACCTTGGACATTCAGTGTTTATCCTAATCCCCCATTCTCCCTGCCCACCAGCAAGTGTCTTTGCTGTGCTGCTTCCTGCTGACCCTGCCTGCCAGGGATTGTCCATGTACTTTTACAATTTTTATGTGCTTAAAGCTTACGATAAATTATAAATATACCAACAGAATTACTGTTATGTCCTTGGAAAAAGTGGGCTTTTTGTTTCAATCACACTGGGGCCCACATGGTAGAGTGATTGATGAGATGTTAGTATTGGGATATTTGGTTAATATAGGCCCCTGCCACACGGCAGGGAAAACACGAGGCGAAGCGCGGCTAAAGAGAGCCGCATCAAAAAAGATACGCGCGGGCGGGATCCCACGGATCCCGTGCACTGTGCGCCGTTGCTCCCCGGCACGATCACATGCCGGGGAGGAAGTGTGGGAGGCAAGGGGGAGGCTGCCGAACTGCGCATGCTCAAGCATGCGCAGTTTTGGACGGAGGCCGGGATGTGCCGCTGCAACGACGCGCAGCCGATCCCACGGCCAGTTTGAGCCGCTCCACTTCGCATGAACCACCCAGGTAGGTGGTTCTTTTTAGAGCGGGTTTTCACGCAGAAGAGACAGATCGGGGACGGACAGGCAACGATTCCCAGATGTTGCCGTGGGATCGCGCCCGTTTGATCCGCCCCCGTTCTGTCTTGCTCCCGGACCAAAACCCCTCGTATGAACGGGGCCATAGCAGAGTTTTCCCAGTCAAAGAAGCATAATATTTAGTGTGGTAAACAAATCTCTTTAAGAAGTAAAACTTACATTTATTCAAATAGATTCAACTCACATTCAGGTAGCCAGCTATAGGGTTGCCAGGTCCATCCTGGCAACTGGCGGAGGATGGGGGAATGTACAAGGAGAAAGAGAAAGGTCTAGGCCTAGTCACCAATGTTGCACAGGAAGCGATGTCATCACACCAGTGACATCTGGGCTATGCTCTGTTATTTGGGCAAAATTGTATGGTAAAACTGACTTCTATCATAGAGTTTTTGCCCAAATACCAGAGCATCACCTAGACATTGCTGGCGTGATTACACCACTTCCTGTATGATGCTGGCGACGAGGCCTAGGCCACCTCCTTTCTTCTGGTAAGTCCCCCCCAGCCACTCAGCTGATTGGGTAGGGCCTGGTGGCGGGGGACCCCTGCCTCCACCAGGAGGTCTGGCAATCCTAGCTATCACATTTTGGTAGTCAGCTATTACAAATAGCCAGCTAAATCAGGTATCATGTATATGGAAATATGAGGACATTGTTTCTACAGGAGGGACCTATAGAGACATGTAACTCCATGCAGTGTCATGCAGAGAATGGGGGAGAACAAAGGACACACAGAGAGAGGAGGGGTCAGAGGGCAGCTCCCAGTTTAAGACAAAGAGAGAAAGATCCAGTTCAAGGAGATAATACTTATACACACTTACAGTGATGTAGGCCCCCCCCCCCCACAATGTCCAGGCATGCGGAGTTGCTTACTCCAAAAGTTAGATATGACAGGCTGAGAACCACTAGCCTTAGGCATGTTCTGTCATAGTCCAGGCTCAGGGTTTTTGTTGGATGCCCCATGCCTCTGGAACAGCCTCCTGAAAGAGATGGAGGGTTCCTACACTCCTGGCTTTCCAGCAAGGCTGCCAAACTATTCCAGAGAGCTCTGGGGTGGGGACAGCTTGAGCCTGGGCAATATCCCATTGGATGGGGCATAAGTTGTTTTTAGTTTTCTTTTTAATATTTTTATTGTTTGTTTTATCAGATTTTGTTTTGTTTTTACATTGCTATTATCTACATCTGATCCAAGGATGCCCAGGAGAAAGGCAGGTATATAAATATTTTAAATACTAAACTAGGATACAGGAGATTCAGATTTGAATCCTCACTTTCCTGTGAAAACTTGCTGGGTGACATTGGGTGAGTTACATATTCCAAGTCTAACCTACTGTTATGTATTGGGACTGAAACATTCCAGAACTGTTCTACCTGAGACGGGCTGAGGTTGGAGCCCAAGAACAATAGCCCACCAGGACTCCTGAAGTAACCAATCAAGAAGTAATGTTATGTAAATAGCCTATCCTTGGGAATGGGGTGCGTTTGGGTGTGGTTTTTGCATGCTATTTCACAGGGCTGCTGCCCGGGGGTTTCCAGTCTTGTTCTTGCTGAAATCATTAATAAAGTAGAGCTGATCACTAGACTTGGGGTCTGCTCATTCATGGAATCCACGATTTAACACCTATCTCAGAGGGCTGTTGTGAGGATAAAATGGAGGAGAGGAGAATGCTTTGGGCTCCACTGGGACAAAGGTGGGATATAAATGAAGTAAGATACATTCTTCCAGGCCTAGTTTTTCAGGGCAAAGGACCTCTCCACAGCTAAAATCACATGTGTTTTGACCACTGCCATGTTGGTCTTCCTCAGGCACTGTACTGTTGAAACCCTCTGATCACTCTCCTTGGTTCAGCCAAGAAACATTGTAAAAGCTAGAGTGTACATATCCCTTACACTTTTGCAGCATGCTTGGTGGAACTTGGAAGTATTCCCGAGTGGGTCTTTGGCTGGGTTTGTCTGCACATAAGAACATAAGAAGAGCCCAGCTGGTCCATCTGGTTCAGCATCCGGTTTCACACAGTGGCTCACCAGTTGCCCTGGAAGGCAAAAAAACAGAGCACAGAAGCCAAGGCCCTCTACGGGAGTGCCTCTCTTGGTATGTCCCCCAAAGTGCTCTACACTCAGATCAAAACCTTCTCATGATCCCTGGCTAGGATTGACAAGTGTGAATTTAGCCGCAGCGGGGGACTCCTGGCTGGCGGCTGGAGCGTGCCGCATCCACGTCGCCTGGAAGTGACGCGGGCACGCTGGGGGTGGGGCCACGACCATTCGAGGGAAAACCATAGAGTTTCCCTCGAATGATAGTATCCCTGCCCCAACATGCCTGATGCAATGATGTCATTTCCGGGTGACGTCATCACGGCGTGCACGCTTTGCGCGCACACCAAAGAGCTCCCAGAGAGGGCCGGGGCTCCCCCTGCTGCAGCCAAGGTAGGACTTGGCAACCCTATTCCCCACTCCTCCACTTACAGCTTCTGGATGACCTTGGGCTGTCCTGGAAAGGGCAGTTCTTGAAAGAGCTCTCTCAGCCCCACCTACCTCACAGGGTGTCTGTTGTGGGGAGGGGGAGGGGAAGGAGTTTGTAAGCCACTCTGAGACTCCGAGCAAAGGGCAGGGTATAAATCCAATCTCTTCTTCTTCTTAATTCAAAATCTTTTAAGTGGACAGTAATAGTTTTGAAGTGGCAGTACTCTGGTTTTATCCACCCTACTAAACAATGGTTGTTTTATTTGGAAAATTGTGCAATTAACCAGATCTACTGAATTTGTACAGATAATAAAGAAGAAAAATGGTAAAGCATTGCTTACTTTTTACTGATTTCAGTTCAGCCGTGATTTAGATAATTTGGCTCTTTTTTCTTTAACTCATTTTGGACTTTAAGCTTTTTGAGGTATTTGTTGTATATTTTCCATCTAATTGTTTATTCTATATTGTCTTTCATGTTGACTTCAACATGTACTGGAATGCATTTATTTTCATAACATTAAAATAATTAAAATGTGTGTGCTGTAGTATCAAGGCCCTTCTAATGTAATAGGAAGGCCAAGATGGCAGATGTTGACAATATACGTGGGTAAGAAATGCAGCGCTGAGCTGAGCTTAATAATGGCAAGTCAGCCTCAGTTTCCCAGCTGTAATGTGGGAATATATAACCTACCTTATTGAGTTGTAGTAAGTATTAATAAACTAAGGACTATAAAGGACTACGTCAATTTTATTTTAAATTATGGTGAATCCATATGTTAATGAAATTAACTTGAACAGAAAAGAAAGAAAATGAAGAACTTTGCTGAAAATGTATAAATCTAAATATATGTTCATTTCTAATAAATTCATAATGTGCTACTAAATTGAATGACAAAACCTCTCTTTTGAACTGTTTTCCAGCCTGGCTCTGCACCCGGATAAAACCCTGGTTGCCACAGGGCAGGTTGGGAAGGACCCTTACATTTGCATCTGGGATTCTTATAATGTGCAGACTGTTTCTATCCTGAAAGATTCACATACCCATGGAGTTGCCTGCTTGGCTTTTGATTCAGATGGCCAGGTATGTATCTTTTTATTGTCATATTACACAAACATACATACATATATACATGTACATGCACACATCTTTCCCTTATTGGATTATTATTTTAAGACACACATAGCAGTTACTTGTTACTTCAAAGTATCACTTCAGCTGTGCAATTGGGGGGGTGTTCGTGTGTTTTCCCATCTTTCAGATTAAAGCAAAACCAAACTGTAATAGTGAAGGAATGAAAATGTAATAAATCGCAGGTAATCCTTCTTTCTCACCCTTTTCCCTGTTGCTTTGTTTAATCACGGACCCATCTACTAGCCTGTGCCATTTTATCTCTTTCCCTCTGAGATGCTGCTTTACTTAAGTAACTTCCACTATACAAAATTCAAAAAGCATGCTCTTATGGGCTGACATTTCCTATTTCATCTCATGCTTGATCATGATTAGGTGTGGTTTAGACTATTTATTTATTTTGCTTTCTCTCCACTGGGGGTCCAAAGTGACTTCCATCGTTCTCTCCTCCATTCTATCCTTACAGCAACCCTGTGTGGTAGCAAAGAATAGTTTGTTGTTACGTGAACAAGCCCATGAAATCCTTGGGCTTGTGCAGTGTCTGCTCCCTTTCTCACCCTCATGCACAACTCAATAATTAAAGCCTTTTGCATTCACAGCAAGCCTGGCTTCGTTGTAGTTGCCTGCCAATCACTGTTCTTCATCCTTTGTTGGGGTGAAGGGCAGAGAAAGAGACCACCTTGTTCTGCCTCAGGTAGCTGATGTAAAAAACAAGTTACAGTGTTTCTTCTGCCTCCTCTTCTTAGCACGTTTCCTTAACGCAAATTCTTCTTGTTTCTGCACTGAAACAGGCTTCTATCCCTTTAATCTTTGCTGAAGTAAACACAATGTTTCCTTCTACATTATTATGACAATGAACAAACTCAGTTCTGTTGTTCATCTCTGTCCTGAGCACCTGTCATATGTGGGCCCACAAGAGGGAAATTAAAGGCTAATCTGATTTATTTGCTTATCAGTGTATAGCTTTTTACAGGCCAGGAAATGAAAGAGGCAGCCTGCAGGGATAAATAATTCGAAGTGTATTCCATCTTGTGGTTCTGTATGTAGCTGGTAGGGTTGCCAGCCTCCAGGTGGCATCTGGAGATATCTCAGTATTACAATTTATCTCCAGGTGAACAATATCCGTTCCCCTGGAGAAAATTGACTTTATGGCATTATACCCTGCTGAGCCCCTTCCCCTCCCCAAACCCCACCCTTCCTAGGCTTACCCTCAAAATCTCCAGGTATTTCCCAACCCAGCGCTGGCAACCCTTTGCCTAAGAAGAGTTCAACAAGAATATTAAGAGGCAATGGTTGTTTGTCATCTGTAAGGGTACCCCTAAACTGCAGTTTATACTCTTTTAAGTAATTCCTCTTCCCAGGGATTATGGTGCTGTGACAAAGGAAGCTAAAATTCTTAACAGAAAATCCTCATTGATTTAACCAAAGTACTGTTCCCAGAACTCTTCAGGGATGCTGGGATGTTTTGTTTGTATAAAAGTCATACTAAATATGCTTTCCATGTTTCACTGAGAATTGTTGAAACGCCTGAGGGAAAATTCTGTTTTCTGAATTGTGTGAAGGGCTTCATTTTTCATTCTTCACCATCAGCAGTAAGGAAATGAATACATTATACGGAAGATTTAAGGTGCATGTGGGTCACAGACAGAGGCTAGTTGTGATGCATGGTGAAAAGAATATGAGAATAAATTGATACTATTCCTGCTTAAATCGATTTATGACAAAAAAACCCCACAACTTTTACACCCACTATATGGATAACAAGAAGATTTAAACAGCCTAGAGACAAGAGACCCTATTCAAGCCTGGATTTACATTGTTTAGAGGGGAGAGGGAAGTGACATTTGGGAGAATAGTTTCAACAGTAGCATCCTTAAACTGCATAACACAGATGAAATTTGACTGAGGAAATAAGATGAGATTCCTATCAAACTACTGGCCTGGATCCCATCTAAAACTTCCACATATGAAGACATTGCTTCCCTCCTCCCTCCTGCCCAAACTGCCTCCTGAAATATTGCTCCTGTGGGACTGTGGAGCAGCATGAAGGGGGAGCTGGAGGGATGGCACAGGAATGGGGGAGGAACCAATGAAAACTGGTGTTCCTTGCATATATGTGCAGACTGTGTCAATGGGATACGACCCTGTAAGTAGAACCATGCTCAGTCACCATTTGGCAATATTATTTCTAGCTTTTAGAGAAGCAGGAAAATAATTCCTTTACTACCATCTTTGTTCTTTGCTCAGCATTATAGTCTTTTGTGTGCATATATTCACTGCTATATTTTACCCTTATCCAGGATTCCTTCTTGAGCACCTTTTCACCTAGGGTAATTGTTTCAATTTCTGCCTCTGTAGTGGCATATGGTTTTGCCATATTGCCCCACTGAAATTGGCAGGGATAACTCTGCCAGAGAGCTGAGTTCTGATGAGCAAAGTCAATTAAGCTGATCCTGTTAATTTTGCATCACTGGTGGTTGGCAAAGCATTGAACAGCTTTAAAAGCACTGGAGTAGACAGTTTGCATGCTGGGGCTGACTGGAGTGCAATCTTTTCCAAAACTGAAAGGCAAGAGTTTGCTGCTCTCATGCAGAGCAGGGAGAGCCTTTATTAAAACAAAAAGCCCTGCATTTTGCTCAGATGAATGGTTCTGATGGCCTTACTGCCTTCTGTTTGGTTTTTACAGAGCATTATTCCCGCCAGTACTAACAAATTAATAAATAGATTTCCAGCATGGTTATTTTAGAGACTGATCCCAAGGGCATGTTCATCACTTGATAAACTGCAACTGAAAGGCTTATCAGAAATTTAGCACCACAGATGGAGCTTTCATATTGAAAAGCAGGTTTTGAGTCCAGTAGCACCTTAAATACCAACAAGACTTCCAGGGTATATGCTTTCAAAAGTCAGATCATACCCTCAAAATCTTGCTTTTCTACTGCAGATTAATATGGCTACCAGCATGAAACAAGCTTTCATATAGTTTCCCATCACCTGAAATGCAATTATTTTTCAGTCAGTTCTAGGGTTGCCAAATCGACTCACCCCTTGGAGCTGGGGAGCCTTGCCGGTGTCTGGGAGGTCTTGGCGAAGCGCAAGCGCGCGCTGGCAGCACATCACCAGAAGTGACGTACGACGTTGCTGACGTTGGAGGCGTGGCCGAGCTCGTCGGGGGGGGGAACCATATGGCTGCGTCACCTCCGGGGCGGAAATCGGGGCTCCGAAGCGGGGGATTCCCTGCCTCCCAGGCCCATTTGGCAACCCTATTCAGTTCACACATTTGCATGCTCATAAGTAGCAATCACATGAAGAAAAATCTCATGAGCTACATATATGCATGATCTACAGCAGGGCTATTTTTGGGCAGGAACACACAGGAACGGAGTTCCGGCTGGCTCCCAAGTTGGCCACGGCCAGCAGGAACTCATTAGCATAATAGGCCACACCCAACCACAGAAACTCATTAGGATTGGCTAAATTAGGGGTGTGTGGCCTAACATGCAAAGGAGTTCCTGCTACAAAAAAAGGCCCTGGGTTTTGACAACAAACAAGGTAAACAGAATAACAAGCAAAAGGTGGGTGTGGCTGGATAACCACACTTCTGGTAACATGTGGGTGCTAATGAGCTGTGTTGCCAGGGGTGTGGCCCAATATGCTAATGAGTTCCTGCTGTTGGGTGTGGCCTATTATGCTAATGAGTTCCTGCTGGGCTTTTTCTACAAAAAGAGCCCTGCTACAGGCAGGTTATCTCCAGTTCCAAGAGCATAGGTTGAGTTATGGTGAAAAGACAACAGAATGTCCAGCATGATAAGCAAAGTGACAGAAATTGAGTCCTTGCTTGAACTTTTTAGCCATTATGCGACATTCTCTTGTTTACTATTCTAACCTATGAATATAACTTAAAGTAGTTCTGAAGGTTAAACTAACATCTCAAATCTTGTAATGAATGTAATCTATTCTGGAACAATGAAGCATTTGAGTTTTAACCATATTGTATATTATATCAGCATTTGATGTCTTGTTTGCGTCTTCAGCATCCTTTGTGCACATGGTTTGCTGTAATGATTTGTTCTTCAGTTAACGAGGCTATTCTTTTTTCTTTCTTTTTTTTCCTTCCAGCGCTTAGCTTCAGTGGGACTCGATGCCAAAAATACAGTCTGCATTTGGGACTGGAAAAAAGGAAAATTGCTGGCAACAGCAACTGGCCACTCAGATAGGGTAATCAGCTAAAGAGTTTGCTATATATTTTCCCTTTCATTTGTCATCTATTTTTGTAGCATTTTTAATCCAATGAAGCTATCTTTTTTCTTTCAATCGAATGTTCTCAAAATCTGATGAGTATAACTGGTCAGTAAAATTATTACATGAAGGTAATGTTATGGAAAGGTCTGCATTATATTACTGAAAGAACATCAGATGGATGTTTGGAAAAGTTTAACAGAAGAATTGACTGATTGAAGTAGTTCATTCATAAGTAGTGATCAAACCGCTTTCATTTCTTTATGTGAGCATTACCTCGGGCATCAAGGTTATGTTTTTTATATCAGCAGTTTAAAAAATGTGAAAATGAGCATGGTGTAGCAGTTAGGGTGTTGGACTCAGATCTGAGAGACTCAGGTTCAAATCCCAACTTTGCCATGGAAGCTTGAAGAAGAAGAAGAGAAGAGATTGGATTTATACCCCGCCCTTCACTTGGAGTCTCAGAGCGTCTTACAAACTCCTTTCCCTTCCCCTCCCCACAACAGACACCCCGTGAGGTGGGTGGGGCTGAGAGAACTCTGACACAAACTGCTCTTTCAGGAACAGCTGTGCCAGAGCTTGTGACTGACCCAAGGTCACTTGCTGGGTGACCATTGGCCAATCATTCTTGCTTAGATTAATCTACCTCACAGTGTTTTGATGTTGTATGCTGCTTTTGGCCCCTATTGGGGAGGAAAGCAAGGTATGCATATTTAAATAAATAAATAAAAGTGAGTAATGGCAGCCAAGACTGAGCTTCCTCTGCACAGAACAGTGTTGGTTACTAGAATTTTCTACTCTCAGTTCCATTATGCAAAGCAAGCACATTTGTATTCATTTATTCAAGATATATGATTTATTACAAGAAATGTGGATTTTGCAGAATTTGGAACTTTTGGCAGGAATTTTAGTGGTGAAATAGTTGGAGGTGAAGGTTACGATTTTGGTTCTTACCCAGTAAGGAATTCTCTGAGACGGACTCTTTCGATGAAGCAGAAGATTTTATTGGATATACAGCTTGCAAGCAGGGTGCCCAGCTCAGAGAACTGAACACACCGAATTGAGTTAATCAGCAGATATATATACTATCCCGGAGAGTTATAGAAAATTAAAAACGCCCTGTCTCGGCCCCTTTCTGGTGACCGAAACGTACAGTCTTCCAATCCCGTTCGCCTATAGGAGGTGCCGTAACACCTCTGTTGAGAGTTCTGCTCTTTCTCTGTGGAACCCCCCCCCCTCCAGAAGGTCTGTTGAGATAGTATATCTTGTGGTCTAAAAGTTACCCCACCCCTATAGTGCTTCTACTTCTCCCTCCAGAGGGACTGCTGAAATAGCATATCTTGTGGTCTAAAAGTTACCCCACCCATATAGTGCTTCTGCTTCTCCCTCCAGAGGGTCTCCTCTTTCTTTAAGCCAGCCTGTTCAAACATTTAGGTTCAGATACTATATTTTTATATGTAGCCAAGCACTTCTGGATTTATATGATTTATGACCAGAAGTCCCTATTCTCAATTTTGGGTTGTTTGTGCAGGCCTACTGGTTTCAAAATAAGCATTCATCAATTGATTTCAAGGAATATTTCTAATGCAATTTAAAGCAAGGTTTTTGAGATCAGAAGCCCCTTATTTATTGCATTTCTTACAGAGGGATTGGATATAGCGTGGACCCTTTGGTGGCAATAGAGCCATACAAGTTAGGTGTGCCAACTCCAGGTTTAGAAATTCCTGGAAATTTGGAGGTGGAGCCTGAGGAGACTGGTGCTTGGAGAGGGGAGTATAAGACCAAACAGTCCATCCTCCAAAGCAGCTGTTTTCTCCAGGAAGACCAGTTTCTATATCCTGGAGATCTGTCACATTTTGCCTTATTTTTCCATTAAATGTTAATTTTGCTTCATATGAGTAGATGCTACTTAAGTCTAACAAATGCAGATGTGAATTAAATTAAGGCAACAGTTTTGTAAGGTGTTCATTATGCTGCCTGCTTTCTGTATGCATTTTCCATTCTTATGGAAAGTTAACTATATTCATATACATATTATATTTTGGTAACAGAACAAGTGGGACTTTATTCAAAACCATGAATACCCGTATTGAATGTATGACATTTCTGATATTTAATCCATGTGTTTTCTAATCTAGTGTAGCAGTTTTGAATATATTTTGACAGATTTTTGATATTTCCTGGGATCCATATCAACTCAACAGATTAGCTAGCTGTGGTGTGAAACATATCAAGGTAAACTGGTTTTGATACTTTGGCATAAAATTGTTTGCTGTGTTTTCTTTTCCTAACCTTGTTTTAAATTGTGGATGTCACATAGCCAACTCAGGGTAGTGAGATAATTTCCCAGTACAGTTAAATATTTATTTATTTATTTAAAACATTTATATGCCCTTCTTTTTCCTGACCATTTCGGGACACAAGATGGGTAAATATTAAGGAATTGTAACAAGGGGCTGCTATCAAGCAACGAAGAAAGGAAATGGAGCTGCGGCCACATACACTAAATAATCCACTTTCAATCCACTTTCAGTGCACTTTCCAACTGGATTTTACTGTGGATGATTCTGCATTAGCTTTTCCCTCCGTTGTTTTACCAAACCCACCTTGGAACAGAAATTCCCCTTTGCATTGCATGCTGCTTTCACTTTCTTTGCTCGTCAGATTTTATGGTACCCTCTACACTGCATGCCACTTTCATTTTCTTTGGGTTTTATGGTACCTTCTGCATAGATTTATGGCCAGTCAGGGACGACTTCGCAGTCAGTTTGGCATGGTCCTGGAGTATTTGAATGTGGTTTTGAGCTGCACGTTTCATCAGTGTTGAGAAAATGTGGAGTGAATGCCAGATGCAGAATGACCCTGTATGAACTGGCAAAATCCAGTTGGAAAGTGCATTGAAAGTGGATTATTTAGTGTGTGAGACTGCAGCCAGGGCACACTTTTACAATATTCTTTTTTTAAAAACCTGTTTATCCAAGGTTCTGGCTGATTTAGAATAAGCACAGCCAAGACTTACCTCTGCCAGCAGTTGTGGTCCAGGAGGTGGGAGAGGCCAGAAAGAGGCAGGCCTGGCTGCATTGTGCATTCTGGCGGGGGGGGGCAAGGCAGGGTGGTTCTCTGCAGCCCACTTCATCAAGCCTTGAGTTGAAGCATGGGGGTGGGGTGAGGGCCTGCAGAGGCTATATGGGAAAACCCGCACTGGGTTTGTTTCAGGTCGCCGACTTTAGATTTAGAATAAAGGTAACCTTACTTGATTTTGGCACTTTAAATGGAAAGGCCCAGTTGTAATCACCAATTTTAGTCATTTTTGTTATTTAAACTGCAGGGTTTTTTCCCAACAGTACTTTTTCAATGTTTCATTTTGGTTTACCTCTGAGCAATATACTGTTCACCATTTTGTTTTGATGTTTTGGATAATACCTGCTCTTGTGAGCGCAGAAGCAAATTTGAGCAATTGGGGCCCCTGCCATACGGCAGGGAAACCACGAAGCAACAGTGCGGCTAATAGAGCCGCTCCAACGTTGAGACGCTGCGGCGGGATCCCACGGATCCCCTGGCCACAGCGCCTCTTCTCCCCGGCAAGAGCAGACGCCAGGGAGGACGAGCCCGATGGGAGGGGGAGGCTGCCGAACTGCGCATGCCCGAGCATGCGCAGTACGGCCGGGGGCTGGGATGCGGCGGCGCAAGGACACGCCGCCGATCCCACGGCCGGCTTGGGGCGCTCCAGACGGCTGCAACCATCTAGATAGGTGGTTCGTTTTTGCAGCGGGGTAGCGCCATTTGGGCCGGATCAGGGACAGAGACGGCACTCTCCCCAGATGTTGAGGTGGGATCGCGTCCGTTTGCTCCGCCCCTGTTCCGTCCCACTCCCGTCCCAAATGGGCTCGTATGAACGGGGCCTGGGTAGATCAATAATTTTTGTCAGTTTTACCAGGTAAGTATTTTATTAGAGAGTAGAGAAAGAACATGATGATAAATTTACTAAAATGTTTCTCCATGATGTAGAAAATAAGCTCCATGAGAAGGCAGGGTCATAAATAATTATAATTGTGAACTTAGTAGAGAAACTATGTCAAAGGACTTATTGGCATAGCCAGATAGAGCAAACTGAGGAGATCTGGATTAGTTGTTTGAGTCTTTCATTTCAGGACAGCAGGATGCTTCAACCTGCCAGACAACATAGCTGATATGGACTTTTGTAGGCTGTAGCAGGTACAGGCAGGCAGTCTTTCCCCAGTACGCTTCCAGTAGCCCAGAGCATGGGAAATGTCACCTGAACAAACCTTTGTAACATAGGATTCTGATGAGATTCCTAATTATGTCAGAGGGCAGATTATGACCCTTGCAGTGTTTTGATGCTTGAGCACACAGGAATGTTTCACCTACAGATCTTCCCTGTAGGTAAGAGATCTTTTAAGTAGACTTTTAAATATTTATTTAGAGCAGTGGAGATAATATGGTTTGGGGAGCTACTTAATTTTTTTCAAGGGCCTTGGGAGCTATCAGTCTCCAAAAGGCAGTTTGATAAGTAGAACTAGTCACAAAATGGCTGCCTGAACAAAAATTATTGCATTTCAGAATTGCTCTGTAGTGCTCGGGTAGGGAAGGCTTTCCTCTGCTGTTCTACCAAAATAACCAACCAACCACCACCACCACTACTCCAAATTATAACTTGGCTTGCAGAGGAAAAATTACCTCTGTGTTTTCCTTGGAAGAGGCCAAGAGAGGCAGAGAGCTACTTTTAATTGCTTGGAGGATGACTGGTCACTCCCCAGTGACCCACCTATCCTTGGCTTACATATTTGATTTGTACATTTGTGTTATAAGAGCTAGATGGGCTACACCATAACTTGCTTACATGGTGAATTGCATGGGTATACATGGATAGGCTGAGCTGCTTATAAATTTTGGATTCTCACTATAAATTGCACATATACATGTTCTGACATAAGATGTCCGTGGCAGAGCTCCCAGTACCCCAACTCATGTGATATGTGCCATGTTTCTAGGGTATCAAAATTCAGATTAAAACATGCTTTAATTTTAATACTTTTTAGTATATTTAATGTCAAAGTATTTGTTCCATTTGTTTTGGCCTCGATGTATTTTGTACAGTACTACTTATATGTTACAAGCCTGCTGAAGTTTGGCATGCTGAAGTCATGTCATAATGATTTCAAGGGCAAAGAATTAAACAGGTAATTTTCTCTTCTTATAAAATCAATGAGATATAAATGTTCTGAACTTTGGCTAGAGCTTCTGAAAAGGAAAATAAACCTTTACATTTCAAAAAACCTTGTTTTAATTTCAAAATTAGTTGCAAATCCAGTATAACAGATCTAAAATAAAGTTTTGGTATTTTTTTCTGATTCCATTAATGCTGCCATTCATTAGTTCCCAGCTTCTCTCATTGCTTTAAAGACAGAACAGAAGTTAGATGGCAAAGAAATGTCTGCCTCTATAGAAAGGCTCAGGAACCATTTACAGAGGAGAAACAGTTGGGGAAGAGGGGAGTGTTCACCTTGTCCCCATGGGCCACTTATTACTCTCTCCAACCCCTCCTCCCCAGATGCTTTCCCTGCAGCCTGATTCTGAGACGGGAGTAGCACAACACATATGTAACAGTATAATAGAGCATTATACCAAATAGAGATCTTTATGGTTTATCTGCTACAGATTCTCTGAGCAATCTGTTGCTATTCTAGCTTTACTATTTGATTCTAAATTTAAGCAGGCATATGACTGTAAAAATGTAGACATTTAAAACTTGCTGAAGAAAATATGTAGAGTTTTGTTTTAAAAAAATCAAATCCCCCAGTTTTTGAGAACTCTTGGAGGTGGTTTTTTTTTGGCTTTTGTATTCAGAAGTATGGTGCTTAACAGATTGCAATTACTTTTCCTTAATTAAGTGGGTACAGCTATCAGAAGTAAGAGTGATATAAAACCAGTTGCTCTCCATTCTTTCTGCCAAGAATCTTGCACCCTTGATGCAGCACTGTGCTCAGATTAGAAAAGAGGTCTTGTCAGGAAAGATACTATTTATTGTGTTTCCTCAAGAAAGTGAACACCTGTTTTGTTTTGTTGGCACATGGGCATCTATGAATTTGTCCTGGTTAACCCAGTGAGTCAAATCAAATGCATGACTGTAAACAAAGGCATGCCAGAAATTAGTTTCCCGCAGTTAAGCACTAATATTGCTAGAAGACAACTGATCCAGTCTAATGGAGAGAAAATTAAATTGCTTTCAATGTTATGTAGAAATGCTATACCTTGAAAAATTATTGTTCATATCTGGAGAAGTAAAAACTTGAAAACTGGACTCTCTTTCCTGACCGTCTTTCATTCAAGCTTCTAATTGGCTAAGTGCAGGCGACCATCTTATTTGCAGTGAACTGCTTATCTGAACTTGCCATGGAATCCACGGTTGAAAGTTTGTACAAATGTAATCATGAGCAACAGACTGAGGGCAGTTTTTGGGGTTTGTATATGTGTGTATAATGCACATGTAGTTATTAGGGAACTAGAATTTACTACGGTTCTCTGTCAGCTATATTTTCAGTAGGAAATCCAGGGCTGTGATCACACAAGCAGTTTGGCCCGATGCAGCCACCCCTCCCCTTTGGATCAAATGGGTGCAGTCACACAGCCACATCTGTCAAGCATTCCCCCGGCATACTCATCCCGTCATACAACAACTAGGAGCTGGGTTAAAAAGGCACCACATCATGTGGTGTTTTTGGTTCCCCATGCATTCATTGCGCATGGCCGGATGTCTGAATGTGGGGGAGCATGTGCAGAACAGATTTGGCAGTCTGAACCTGCAGATCCATTTCCACCGCTAGGGAGAGGGTTTTTTTAAAAAATAGCCTATGTTCACATGTGCGTGCATGCATTTTGAAAAATTTCTGTGTAGCACGTTCCGTGGCTGAGGTGCTGCAGTAATGTGGATGCTCGACCATGGAATGTGTGCGTGGGTAACCTGCAGTAGGGTGTGCTGTCTGGATGATATGCCCCGCAACACTTTGAACTGATACAATTAGACGCAGCACCATACCGTGCCAAGCCACCAGTGTGACCATAGCCCAGGTTTCCCATATGAAGTATCTGAAAACAACATGCCCTTAATCACAAAGCAGAATTAAGCTACAAGATAATATGGCCCTGTGTTTAAGTGCTTGTGGCTGTACATTCTCCATCACATCACAGATTAACATAGGGGCAATCTTGTATAG